TCATTTATTAAAAAAAACTAAAAAGAAAATCAAAAATTGATTTTCTTGGTTACCAACTAGATTATCAATTCAACAAAAAAATTAAATTGTTATTTTCCCATATGAACAGTATTTTTTGTAGAAAATATAAGCCGTACAATTTTCAACTAATGAAATCGTTCTAATCGTAATTTGCAAAAATTTGTATTTTTCGTCGTTTTTGATTATTGCCAACATAATTATGAAAAATATCTAAAATATTAGTGGCTATATTATGCCAATAGAAATAAAATCAATCTATTTACATTTTTCGATTGAAGTAATATTTCTGGTGTAAAACATAAATTACAAAAATAAAAAGAACGAAATCGATAACGCCACAGTACGCTATATATATTTACCGTTTTACCTATAATTTTCTTTCGTGTTTTTCTTAATTATTTTAAAAACTCATTGGAAAATCAAAAAGTTACCCCTTTAATATACTATCTCAATAAAATAACCTTTCAGAAAAGTTACTACAATTGACACTTTGGAGTAAGACTTTTGTTAGAAGAGTTATTTATAGACAAAATAAAATAAATAAATAAAAATAAAGTACACATCACAGGAAAATCAATTGATCATTTACTACGCTTTGAATCTAAAATAGTAAATAATAATATCATATGCAAGTATTTGGAATTTGATTTCTAAAACATTTAAGAAACAAGCTGTTCTACAATTTTATATTTATGTTTTTTTTTCACCCTTATTTTTTAGGGTAAAACCACTAACTACTTTTGATTTTAAAATGGTAACTTATATTAAAAATTTCATAAATAGATGGAGTATTAGTTAAAATAAATATTAATGTTGACATTTTTGATTTCTGTCAAACCATTGACCAAATATTCCACTTTTAAGTTTGGGTTGGAGGAGAGTAGTAGTGCATTATGAAAACGTGCAATGTACTGCCACACAAATGACACTCCACTACTCTAATCTAACCCAAACTTAAAATTGGAATATCTCGTCAATGGATTAACGGAAATCGAAAATGTCAACTATAAAACTTATTTTAACTAATACTCCATATATTTATGGAATTTTTAATATAAGTTACTATTTGAAAATCAAAAGTATATAGTGGTTTTACCCACAAAAATAAGGGTGACACAAAATAACATAAATATAGAATTATAGAGCAGCTTGTGGATTAGCTCTGAAATTTTCTAGAAAACAAATTTTAATACTTCCCGAGATAATGAGTGTATACACTTAAATGGATAACAAAATAAAAGACTTTTCTGTAATTTACAAAGGAAATTAATAATTTTATAATAATAATAATAATAATAGATATATTATAAAAATTATTATAATATAAAAAATTTTGACTTGTAACTAAGGTACCTAACTGAGTTACTAAATTAGGAAAGTAACTCTAACTTATTCAGTTCCTAAAGTCCAGTAACTTACCAGATTGACAATTTAACATATACTTTTATTTACATAAATTTACCTAGTACTATAGTTTTATTTTATTAGTTAATTATTTTTCAAAAGAAATATAATGGAAAACAGTAAATATTATAAAATATATTAATCAAGAAAATAATATGCATGTACCTACATACTAAATGTATTCAGTGCCGATCCGGAGGGTTTAATGTGGGAACTTAGATTAGTAGTAATACCATAGATTATACATATGTATAATACAACATATAATACTATGTATAATCAATGGTAATACCAACAAAATTTAGAGATATCTTATTAAATGAATTGCATAGTATGTGTAAAATAAAATCTTTAACAATGTCTTACAAATGGTGTTCTAAAATTGATAGGGATTTTGAGAGTAGGTATCACATAAAATATAATACTTAAATATTAGGTGTTTAATGAAAATCCATCCAGGTCAGAATTGTATAGTTGGTCTTGGACTAAAGGCACGGCCCAACAGGTTAATTTGGATTTTTAAAATGTTTAAATAGAAAGAAGTTTGTTCATATAATAGATGCTTATTTCAAATGGATATTTATCAAATAAAATAGAAAGAAATAAAATCATTATCAACTATTAACCACTAATTAAACACTGTTCGACCATAGGCATATGCAGAAGGTGAATGAAAATGTAAAGTCATAGCAAATTTTCTAAGAATTGGACTAATAGATTTCTCAATCGATATCAATAGTTGTCTTATAAGTAATTGTTTTTCCTCTTCAGTGCTAATATTCTAGGGAAAAAAATTGTGAATTTAAAATATATAATTTGTATAATACATTATTAGAGCTCAGAACTTAATGCACTTAAAAAGTTATAAATATACATGTATATATATATACGCTTAAAAAAATACAGATTTGTTTTAAAAATATGAACTTATTTTTTTTTTATAAAAATAGCTATACTAAGAAGCCAACTTCAAACATATATCAGACATATATGCCAGACACATGTCATATATATTACAAAATCCATATAATATAATTTTTAAATTATCCTAATAATGTCATTATAGAATGAAATCATAGATTCTGAGTATTGCAAAGAATGTATTGGTTTTACATAGATATTCATTTTTTTTTTTTATATTTACTGTGTACAACAATTCTAACAGAAATCTTGATGTATACAATGTAGACACTTTTTTGAAAGAAAATTTTCTTGGAGTGATACTTTAAGGAGGTCATATTTTGATTTTCCAAAAAAATAGGACAAAAGCAGAAAAAAACAAAACAATAGGTACAATATTAAACAAATATTATTAAATAAAATTAGAAAATTACAGATACAAATTAATTTCCCCTCTGTATCTTACATTCCCAACTTCTCACCAACAACAGTGGCTGCACCCATCTTGCTAAAAATGTCCATATTGTTATGCAATAGTGGTGATATCCATGATAAGATTCATATTACACTATAGTAATAGCACTATATAAGTGCAACTATTTCTGTATAATTGATTTATTTATGAATTTTTCACTTCTTATTATTTTATCAGATATAATTTATCATAAATTAATTTTTAATCACTTTTAAAATATGTGAATAACTACCATTTAATAGACATTCTTTTCAAAGTTCATTAACTAATGTATTTAAATTATTTATTTTTGACTGTAATCTTCGATTTTTCTGTACAAGAAATCTAATTTTCTGTGTTTTCTCGTCTAAAATTTTAGTATATGTGTTCCAAAAAATTTTTCTTCTTCTTGGGGTGTTTCCAAGTTTTCTTCCGAAAAATCTCCAATGATAATACTTACATTTACTAAAATAATAATAAATCAACAATTTATAGTTGTATTTTATACAAATATATTACTTGGTAGGAATTTTATTTAGGTCAGTACTTATATTAGTTGTATCAAACGAAGCATTATCACAAATATTATTGGATGCATTTGAATGTTCTTTCTGACGATTGAGGAACATTTGATAATTCTGACAATGCATCATCTAGAAAATCATATAGATAAAGATGACATTTCAAATTTTTTAAATAATTAAAAAAAAATTATTTGTTTACTAATAATATTATTATATTCTTTTGGCAATTGTTCATTTGAGGTAGATGAAGCACATACATTTTCACTTGAAGAACTTTGGAAATCTATAACACAGCTTAGCAATTAATATATCAATATATGTAATAAAAAAGGATAAATAGATATAGGTTGACTATATATTACTTGGTAATAACGGACAACAAACACCCATCATTTTGATAAGTATAGCATTTGGTTTTAGATGCCTAACTTGATCAGTTTTAATAAAATCATTATTATTAAAAAGATTACTATGAATTCCGGTATGACCAGTTGGTGTAAAGATATAATCCTTATTAATGTTCAAAATCTATTTTTCAAGAACTATAATGTCTTTTGAAAAATTACATGAAGAATATAAATAAAATACATCATAATTTATAACAAGTAACAATGTAAATACTTGACCATTACAAGTAAATAACATTTACAAACTTAATTAGTCATGTACATTAAATCTGAATTCTAAATGATCCAGTGAGCATCGGATCTGGTCATGTATTTTATGTGTAACGAAATAGAAATCTATAATTTGGATAAATACCTGTGTAATGTGATATTACTAAATCGTTGCGATCTGCAAACACAACATTTTGTACCATATTTGGTTGTATGTTTTAGTTTGTACTATTCATAAAATATCTCACATTCTGACGAAGCCATGAACAGTAAGTGAGTACAAGCATATAAATATGGTATTTTGGCAGGATAATCCATAATCTTATCTAGCGACTATCAGTGTGATTAAAATTATAATCTCTTTGATAAAACCGCAGTTTTAAAAAGTGATGTTAGTCCCAAATATTTCGTATCAGTCTATTTGGTAAGAAAGCATGTACAAATCTGGAATGTACAGACATTGAAAAACTGAAAATATTTAAAATACATATTAATATAATACAAACAGATTATGTATATATTTTAATCAAATATTTACACAATTACAATACCTACATATGCATAAGACACAAATTAGATTCTATTTTATAACAATATTATAAACCTGAGTAGCGTATGATCTAGACCAAAATTATCCTGATATTATAATTATCTATTAAAATTCATGAATTGTGCAAAATATACAACAGATCATCAATACTAAAACAATCTCTATAATTAAATATAAAGTAACAATCGACTATCACCATCTACCGGTGCCCAAAATCGTCCAAAGACGACGTTCGGCAACGTTCAAAAAAAATTAGTCAGTTTACATCATAATGATAAAGCTTTATTCACGTCAGAGAAAAAACTTAGATAACAAATTTTTATCGTAATGTAAATTACGGTTAAACGAGCTGATAGTAGGTACATAAATTTCCTATAATTTTATCCGTTTTGGGGAGGAACAGAGGTCAGTGCCACGTCTGAAATAAACACTGTATGCGAACACAATCCAACAAACAAACTCGTCAGATACCAGAATAGATGCGTGACATGCGCTATTTAGGAGAATTTTATTTGGTAATTTGTCAATATATAGGACCGCGTGAACGCAGTCCCGCTATCAAAAATTAAGTGTCCGATAATTCAGTTTTATCGCAGGAAGATGACTACCCCACAGCATTAACGGGCAGTCACTTCCTGGAGGTACCGTTTACATGATCACGGATACCCCAAACACTAGTAAGGTATAATTTCGTCTTTCGCTTTTACCCCTTATATAACCAATCACACTGACCTCACCGGTGTAGTATCTCGAAACACAAGACACTGGACCTATCAATAATTATTGTCTATTTACGTGGTCTAGGGTCCAGACAATCATTCGTCGAGTCTGTCACAGATTCCCATGTCACAATCTCAAAGGTATCGCAACGCAAACGTAACCGCTAAAGAAGAAAACACGATTGAAAACAACGAACGATAAACGAGTCTCGTCGAAAGCGCTATCTACCGGCGGCGTGACAAAACATGTGTATTTTTTGCATGAACATCGTGGGAATTAAATGTGACCTCAAACGGATCAAATATACCTAATAAAAAATATCAATTCAGATTCTTCTGTTACATGAAACTTTTGGCAATTTTACTAAAACTGCTTGACATAAAAATAAAATGATGACGTGGGACGGCATTGTATTGGTGAATATCAATTAATTGTACGCAAAAACAATTAATATTCATATTATTAAAAAACTATGTTATATAGGTACCTATTATTTCCAATTATTAATTATTATTTATTATACCATTATTAAAGAATGCAAGTTTAAGATAACTTCAACTCTTTGAACATAATTTGTACATATGTATTTTATATATATAAATAAATAAATATTATTTAATTATATCTACGATCGGACTAAAAATAATTATACAAATTGAAATAGATAATATTATTATTACTAAAATATTATATCGTAATGTTTGATAAATGTTTTACTATACTCGAATGCTCTCTAGCGGTAAACAGATTGTTCGGACCACCGATGTACATAAAATCGTAGTAGATCGCGCCCGCAGTATTTCTATGGTTAACGATAAGCAAATGGTAATAACGGTGAAATAATATTTTGATGGACTATTCCGAACACCGGTAGATGGCGATAGGAGATTGTTATATTACATTTAATTACAAAGATTGTTTTCTTCCTAAACTTTCATATCAGTGTCAAAGAACGGCTGTAATATCTTTTTTTTTTAAACAAAACAGTTATTAGATGTCATTATTAAGTGCATAGGCAAAATTTGAAAAATTATTATTTCACCGTTAATACCATTTACCGGTGGTCTAGGGTCCAGATAATCATCCGTCGAGTCTGTCACAGATTCCCATGTCACAATCTCAGAGGTATCGCAACGCAAACGTAACCGCTAAAGGAGAAGAGTCGATTGAAAACAACTAAAAAAAAAAGATATTACAGCCGTTCTTTGACACTGATATGAAAGTTTAGGAAGAAAACAATCTTTGTAATTAAATGTAATATAACAATCTCCTATCGCCATCTACCGGTGTTCGGAATAGTCCATCAAAATATTATTTCACCGTTATTACCATTTGCTTATCGTTAACCATAGAAATACTGCGGGCGCGATCTACTACGATTTTATGTACATCGGTGGTCCGAACAATCTGTTTACCGCTAGAGAGCATTCGAGTATAGTAAAACATTTATCAAACATTACGATATAATATTTTAGTAATAATAATATTATCTATTTCAATTTGTATAATTATTTTTAGTCCGATCGTAGNTTTTAATAATATGAATATTAATTGTTTTTGCGTACAATTAATTGATATTCACCAATACAATGCCGTCCCACGTCATCATTTTATTTTTATGTCAAGCAGTTTTAGTAAAATTGCCAAAAGTTTCATGTAACAGAAGAATCTGAATTGATATTTTTTATTAGGTATATTTGATCCGTTTGAGGTCACATTTAATTCCCACGATGTTCATGCAAAAAATACACATGTTTTGTCACGCCGCCGGTAGATAGCGCTTTCGACGAGACTCGTTTATCGTTCGTTGTTTTCAATCGTGTTTTCTTCTTTAGCGGTTACGTTTGCGTTGCGATACCTTTGAGATTGTGACATGGGAATCTGTGACAGACTCGACGAATGATTGTCTGGACCCTAGACCACGTAAATAGACAATAATTATTGATAGGTCCAGTGTCTTGTGTTTCGAGATACTACACCGGTGAGGTCAGTGTGATTGGTTATATAAGGGGTAAAAGCGAAAGACGAAATTATACCTTACTAGTGTTTGGGGTATCCGTGATCATGTAAACGGTACCTCCAGGAAGTGACTGCCCGTTAATGCTGTGGGGTAGTCATCTTCCTGCGATAAAACTGAATTATCGGACACTTAATTTTTGATAGCGGGACTGCGTTCACGCGGTCCTATATATTGACAAATTACCAAATAAAATTCTCCTAAATAGCGCATGTCACGCATCTATTCTGGTATCTGACGAGTTTGTTTGTTGGATTGTGTTCGCATACAGTGTTTATTTCAGACGTGGCACTGACCTCTGTTCCTCCCCAAAACGGATAAAATTATAGGAAATTTATGTACCTACTATCAGCTCGTTTAACCGTAATTTACATTACGATAAAAATTTGTTATCTAAGTTTTTTCTCTGACGTGAATAAAGCTTTATCATTATGATGTAAACTGACTAATTTTTTTTGAACGATAAAAACACTTCTTTCATGGTCATTGGTTACAGTGTCATAATGAAATGCATATCCCTGTCTGTTTGTCGTACGTAGGTAGTTGGGTACACATTATTATTATTACTAATGACATGTATGTGATATTGTAATCAAGCCCAGATCAGGATAATTTTGGTCTAGATCATACGCTACTCAGGTATATAATATTGTTATAAAATAGAATCTAATTTGTGTCTTATGCATATGTAGATAGTGTTATTTGTGTAAAAATTTGATTATAATATAGACATAATTTGTTTGTATTATATTAATATGTATTTTAAATATTTTCAGTTGTTTATGGATTACTTCAAAATTAATTTCTGAACAAGACAATCATGTGCATGGAGATTGGAGACCCCTGTTGATAGATTTATTAAATTGATTGTTTTACATATTATACTATTGTAAATTATTGATGTGAAAGGAATTGCAGGAAGGTTAGTTGTTTCCCTAAAATGCTTACAAGTTATATTACATATCACAAATTTTTGTTAAAGCCGTTAAAAGTGTGAAATGTTTAGAAATGCTAAGGAAGTACTTAAAATTGGTGCTAAGTTACCAAAATGCAGTGGGCATTGTGTGAACCTGTCGCTAAAATTCAAGAAGATACTCAAAACCATGGCTCTATAATGGAAGAAGCTTCACATACTGAAAATGAAAATAATATTAGTTTGAATATTATATTAAAAGTAGTTGATGAAGCCCTCTTAGATAAATATATATATACATATTATATTATGTATATTTACCTACCTATTTTGGTTTTCATATTCTGTTTCAGTTTAACAAACAAGCAACATAGCAAATTACATTACTCAGAACATAAATTATGGCGTTTAGGTTTAAGAAATTGTAATTTAAACTCAAATAACACAATTTAACTAGAAGAAAACGTTTATGAGGTTTAATTTGCTTTTTTATAAAAAAAGTTTTATTTGTGTGAATTTTTTTTCTTCTTTAAATAGTTAATAGTTATTTACAAAAATGTTACATAAAGCCTTTGAAAGTATAATTCTCTTAACATTTTGTTATTTGTATTCAAACTAAACGCCACAATCTATGTTTTGAATAATGTAACTTTGCTATGTCACCCGTTAATTAATTTGAGACAACTTATTTTAACTAGTAGACTTGTGTTTAGCGTCTTCTTAAATTATTACCTTTGTTATAAATGTATAATCTATCTTTAAAGAAATAAATAAAATAAATATGACCAATAAAAAATCATAATTGTTGACTATACCTACAGACCCAAATTCAAGATATTGTTTTGTTGGGTAAAATACAGTTCCTTTAGTAACATTGAATAAACATGGGCTGAATCAGAATGTTTCTGATCATTTAACGATTAGTTTAATTATGCATAGGTATCACTAATTATCTATTGGATTTCAGGTTTCAACTATGTTGTTATAAAAATGAAAAAAAAACAGTTTTCTATTTAAATGTTATTAAATATTATTCAATTCAATATTCCTTTTTTTTCTTTTTTCTTTACTCTAATACCTATCTGTTGTAGTATGCAAAGTGCATGACTATATATTTCAATTTATAATAATTTAGGTTTGATTTATTTACCCATTGATATTTAAGCTGATACCTGAAAAAAATTTAATTCATCTTTAGTATTTATATTTAGCTAAATATAAAGAAAATATAATAATAATTATGGTATAAGGAACAACAAATTATATTGTTCATTACTTAAGTTTTATTATAAATTAATAATATTATATATTTTTAATAAGTAAAATTTAAGGATAAACATAAAAGAAAATTTGGTAGTACCATGATATAATTAACATAGTGTGACAGCAACATAGTTCTGCACATGGTATTACGTCATTGCCTGTTCATTGCCTATCATAATACGTTATCACTTATTATTTATTTCATTGTAATTTTGTCTGGTTTGAGCGTTCAACAATTGTAAGTTTTATATGATTTTTATTTATATTTTATAATTACTTTTGTGATTGTAATGAAATATGAATATATTTTCTTAGAATCTACATTCCATAAAAAAAAAAATAAGAACAAAGTATAAAATAAAATAATGATTTTTATAATATAATAAATAACTTTTTTTATTATATCAATTAATTGCATTCATTTGAAACCATTATGTTAGAAAATGGTTTTACAATAAATTGTAGTGTCATTATTGATTTGGTCCGGGTAGATGTTCAAGCACTTTTTGAACATATTGGCTACATGAAAGTAAATAAATAATTTCTTTAAACAGTATAAACAAAATAACATATTAGTATTACAATAAATGTGAAAAATATCACTTTTACAGATGGAACAGCATCAACTGTAAGTTTTTTTTGAACTTTTCAGTGAATATATCAGTATTTTTTTAATTAGTGATTTAAAATAGTCACTATACTATGAAAATGTTGGGAACATATTCTTTCTGAATAGTTAGTTTACACAAATATATAATATTAATAGAAGTTTA